AAGAGCATAATGTACAGTTTTGGTCAGGACGACTTATAGGACTAATAGTAAATACAGTCTGATTCTACTTCTTGTTGAGATACAATGATATCGGGCGCAAGGATAAGGTCGATCGAAAAAGTACTCCTTAATTCGACCACGAGTATTTCACTCAGCAGTGGTCTTCTAGAAAGTAACGCAAACTTTTACTGGTTAGCACTGTATTAAATAAGGCATAAACGTATGCGCAATCAAATTAATTCGTTCACCCATTTTCAAAGCCAGTTACGTTTTTCGGGTGGTAGGGGAAGATATTTTACGGGGCTTTTTCAAGGTTCTATCTGCCGCCGAACACCAGACAAACTCAATAGTTCGGATACTAATGCGCAACATGGCAATGTAAATTAAACGTGTTTTATGATCGACTTTAGCTTGATGCCCAAAACCATCGATTCTGAACGAGAACCATGTTATAATAGATGGTACTACCAGATGCATGGTCTGTGAGAAAAGTAGCTGCGACAGAAGTGTAATGCGACTTTTGGCCATGCGCCTGCCCTCGACCACAAAAACATTAAATAAAAGAATTAACGTAACGGTGCCCACCTCAAGCATCTGCACCAAACCCGGAACAAAACTTTCGTGTTCACCGTACTCGTCGACCAACACGCTGCCGAGGTAGAGAAAGCACGAGTGTGGGTGCTTCTGGTAGACTTCAAACATCTGAAACGGTCACGGTCACCGTCTATTTGACATAAAAACCTGGTTTAAGACTCAGTAGACCTACCTTGTTCACCAGTGGACTTATGAACGGTAACGACTGCATACCGAGACAGCGAATCACGAAACGGATAGTTCGACAGCAATGTTCGGCCACTTTCAGACTTTCTTCGTATTGTTGGCATGCCCTGAGCAATACGGGCCAAATCTATGAAAGTCACACTCACGACTGAAAGTACAGAAACACTGAAGTGAGCACTACCTCTTGAACGGATTTCAAGCACGGATGAGGAGCATCGCCAAGTTCCGTCACAGACAGATACCTAAACAAAACCGTCAAGCGGTCCATCCAAAATATCGGCTCTTTAGGACTCAGATGCTGACCCGCCTTTCCCTCGTTTGAATTGAGTATCTGAAAAAGTGAAAATCATATATAACAGTAACACCACTCAAAACAAGGTAATAAAA